GACAAACAAAGAGAGACTCAGGGACCTGGAGAATGGACTAGTGGTTACCAGAGAGTAGAGGGTGGGGGAGGAGGTGAGCAGTAGATGGGGTAAAGGGAGTCAAATATAGGAGGTAAGGGTAGTGTGGAGTGGATAAAGGGGATCAAACATATGGTAGCTGAAGGAAATTGGACTTTAGGTGGTAATTACACAATAGAATATATAGATGTCAAATTATAATGTACAATTGAAAATTATGTAATTATTAACCAATGATACCCCAATAAACTTAATTTAAAAAAACCTTTTTTTAAATAAAGAAGTCCCTCCATTTCCTGTAAAAAAAAAAAATGATAATTAAAGTCAATGAATGAATGAATAAAGAATGGAAATAACTAATCTATCAACAAGTACCTCAAATGGAAAAGAATTAAATGCTCTAACCAAAAGATAGGGAGGCTGAATGGATAAGAAAACAAGACCCCTACATATGCTTACAATAGACTCACTTCAGATTAAAAGACACACACAGACTACAAGGAAGGGGATGGAAAAAGATACTGCCTTGATGGGCCTAGAGGGTGTTGCACTGAATGAAATGGGTTGGATAGAGAAAGACAAATACCGCATGATTTCACATGTGGAATTTAAATAATAACAAAAATGGAAGCAGACTTATAGATAGAGAGAATATTTCGAGGGCTACTAGACAAAAGGGAGGGTTAGGGGTATGGTGGAAAAGGGCAAAAGGATTAAGAAGTACAAATGGATAGATACAAAATAGTCATAGAGATAGAAAGTGTGGCATAAGAAAAATAGTCAACAGTGTTGTAAAAAATATGTAAGGGGAAAGGGGTACTAGATTTAGTGGAGTGATCACTTTGTGAGTTGTGTGATCTCTGATCACTATGCTGTACAACTGAAACTAATATATTGTATGCCAACTATAATTGAAAAAAACCTCATTGAATTGTACAATGTAAATATGAACGGCATATATCGAACATTTATTCTGGATCTTTATTTTACCTTTCAAAATCAAAAGGTGACTAGCTTTTAGCATTTTTTTCTAAGACTGCTTCTCAAACTGGGTTGGATGTAACCTGGGAAACCGTGACATGCTGGGGCATAGAGGAGACCACAGCAAAAACAGCACATCTTCCTGAGTATTAATTTTACTTGATGGTAGGTGATTTAAAACTTTTCAACATTAAAGCAAATAGATACCAGCATATTATGGAATAAAACAAAAAATATATATGAATTCTTGAATTAAATTATGAGACTTAAAACCTTGCAGTTGCAGAAAGTCATTTGAGCCTATGCCCCCAAGTCATCTAGGGATACTTGTTTGCTCTACTTTGGTGAAAATGTTTGAGAAATACTGTCCTAAGAAAAAGCAGATGTTCTTCAGAGAACTGTTTATTACAGCCAAAGGTAAAAAAGCAACCTGAACATTCAACAATAATTAAATACATTGCAGTGAATCCATTTGATAAACTACTATAGTGTCATTAAAATCTGTGATAGAAAATAAAACTGAAAGATGTTCACAAATGTTAAGTATGAAGAAAATGAAGATGATAAAACTATATTTGAGTATAGTGTCTGTTCTGACAAGTTCGTATGTATGCACGGAGAAAATAATGGAAGGAACTATGCAGAGCTTCCATACAAAACTAAACTATTGGACTTAAAAGATGACTTGAATAAATGAAGGTACAATTATACATTCATGAATGAAAGGTCTTTATATTGTAAAAATGTTGGTTTGCCCCAAATTAATGTATACATTTATTGCCATTCTAAATCTTCAAGGGAATGGGGAGCTGAATGAAATTATCTTAAATTTGTAAGAATTGTCAGAAAGAAAATTTTAAAAGAAAAATGAGGAATTTGCCCTACAAGATGTTAAAATATGTTAAAAAGTGACAGTTATTAACAGTAATTAAAATAGTAACACTTTGGCATGAGAATAGACAGTCGATCATTGGAGCAGAATAGGTAATTCAGGAACAGATTCAAATACAAATTTATATAATTTTATTTGAGTCATATATAGTGAAGCTGGCACTGTAAGTTAGTAGGGAAATATTTTAAAACAAAGTTGGAACTCTATATGTTATACCAAAATAAATTCCTAAGAAATTAAGGATTTGAATATAAACTATGATGTATAAAAGTGCTGTGATAACATGAATGAATATGTATATTATCTTGACCATGGTTAGCAAGACTTTAAATGTGGGGAAACTTGGTTGACTCTACTTGAATGTAAGCTTTGTGAAGGCAGGGACTTAGCCATATTCATCACTGTGTCAGTCTCATTGTAAGCACTAAATAATTAGTTGAATAAGTAAATGAATTTGTATAAATATCTTTAAACTTTCCTATATCAAATAAAATGCCATATGTAAAACGTAAATATGAATAAACTGGGAAAGGATTAATATCCTTAGATAACACCCAGTTTATAAAAATGGACTTAGTCTCTAATGGCTTGATTTGTATCAGAAATTCAAATGGCTATTTAATTTATGTGAAATAATATTCATCTTCAAGGAAGTCAAAGAAACAGTAAAATAACTAAGCAGATTTAAAAAGATTAAAAAGAATGGGAAACTTTAGTGTAACAAATAGGGGAGATGGGCACTGTCATTTATTGCTGGTGGAACTATATATTGCTAAAGCCATTTTTTAATTATTTTTAAAATTGTTTATTAGATACCATTTTCCTTTTAATTTAAAACTTACTTAGTATGAATAGTTACCTTACTTTTAAATTTCATTTGCACCAAATTCAAAAATATGCAATTTGATTTGATTTATTATTACTGGGTAAAATTTTCCTCAATAATAGAGGAAACTGGGCTGGATTCCCCCAAATGTACACTGGTTATTGGGAAACGCTGCTGAGCTGAAGTGTGTCTGCATAGAATCTGACATTGGATAGCTATGTATGGTGGCCAAAACTAATCCACCCAAAAATATCTTCCATCTAAACCCTACATTGATTCTTCATGTTCTAGTAGTAACAAAAAAGTGCTAGTGCTCAAAATATAAAAATAATGAACTTCTTTCAAACACCAAAGTGAAAATTTAGCAGGACCTTTTTAAGTTAATGGCAAATAACATTGTTATATTTCTTAATTAAAACGTCTCTTTTATTTGTCTTTTATTTCTTTGGCCTCAATGTTACTTATGGCAAAAAAATGTAATTTTATAAAAATTGTATAAATATAACTTGTGGAAATTATATGCTTGGCTTAAATTTTATGATTGCTTTAAAATACTCCCAAATAAAACATTCACAGATTTCCTTGGAAATCATAGATAACAGAAGGTCCTCTTAATTTTACATCTTGTTTAAAGACACTTTGAACAAGTACTTTATTAGTGCTACTCCAAGTAACTGAATTACTATAATTAGTTTTCCATTGATCTATCTAGCAGTCTTGCTGAATTTATAGTTTCCATAGTTGTGTGTATATGTGCTTATATATGTGTTGGGGGGAGGTTTATAAATCCACTTACAGTTTTCTACATAAAAGATCATGTCATTTGTGAATAAAGGCAACTTCTTCCTTCTCAGTCTGGATGCATTTTATTTCTTTTTTGGTAAAGACATTTTAGGGCATGTCTCAAAAGCCTTTCCGACAGTCATGTCTTTTGGGTAATTCTGCTTCCAGGAATTTATTTTTAGAACACAGTTATGGATCAAGTGGACAGAGAAGTATGAACTCATAATGTTGTTCAAAAAGCATTATTTAAAATGGCAAATAATTGGAAACCCTGAAATGTTTAGCAACAGGAAATTTGATATATAAATTATGGCACAAACTTTCAGTGGAACGCGCTGTTCAAGATAGGGTTATGTGTGTACTAACATGTAAAACAGCTACTGTATTGTGGAATGAAAAAAAGCCAGTTACAGAATAATATTTGTTATGATTCTTGTTGTTTTAAAAATGTTAATATAAAGAGAGGAGAGAAGGGGATCTCCATGAAAATGTTAATACTGGTTATTTCTGGATAGGATTTCAGGTTATTGTCACCTTATTGATATGTTTTGGTATTGTTTCTAAATGAGCATGTGTTTATTTTACAAGAGTCCCTCCACATACATATATTACATTATGAACCTCTTCCCATGTAACTAGGTTTGCTTTCTTTTCTTTACAAAATGAAAATAGCTTTATTGAGTGACAAAGAGGTACAAAGCAGAATGGGTAAGTTTATATTCTAAAACATAGAAAAATGTTTGGAATGGTATACTAAGATGGTAATGTTGATTTTGTTTAGGTGGTAATATGGGTAGCTTTTTTTCTGTATTTTCTAAATTTTGTACATTAACTACTGTGCTTATAATAGGGTGATAAACAGAGTGTTTCGTTTCGGAACAGATAATTAAGATCCTCTCTGAAACCACATTTACCATAAATGAGCTCTATTTTAAGAGGCAAAGTAATGAAAATCCAAGGTATGATTTGTATTAATAGTGTTCTTTTATGCAGCTTGAACTAGAAGTACATCTAAAATAAGATGCAGTATATACATATATTTGTATAAAGTAAGGTATGCTTCTATTTATTTATCGATTGATAAATTTAAAAGAATTTCCTCCATGTCAAATACCCAATATATTGGAACATCTAACGTCCTGTGTTTGACATAAAATTAATAGCAAAGGAAGCAAGAAAGAGTGGTAGGAAGAGCAAAGAGCAACAAAATAAATTCCTAGGGGAAACGTTGTATAGTCCTTGAGGCATATGGTGATTTTTCAAAAGTTACATTAAGGGTTCTGTGCCTGAATGTGCTCTCTTCACTTACTTTGTCTCTGCCTGATTTTGTTGTAACTTCCCATTCCCCAGCTGATTTGAAAGTGAGATTTTGCAGCCATCCTAACTATAATAGAAAGATTGTAAGTCCTTTACTTTTTCTCTTCATTGCTATATTTAATCCCCTTTTTCTAGTCACTTTTTGAATTATTTGTTTTGTTTTGATTTCTTCCGTACAATCAGCTTGTTGCTTCAGAAGAAGCTTCATAAATTCGAGTTGGCCTGTTTGGCCAACCTTTGCCCAGAGACTGCTGAGGAATCCAAGGCTCTGATCCCAAGGTTAGTTACCAGTTATGTTAAGTTCTGTATGTATTGGATATATTCCTACAAGTAGAATTACTGTGTCTAAAAGATGTACGCATTTGAAATCTGCGTAGATAGCAACATTGAATGAGAGTGCCTTTTTTGACAGTGTGAAATGAAGGTTCAATAGCACAGCAACTGTTAGCAAAAATGGGGAGCAGCAGAAATTCTTATATATTGATGGTAGGGGTGCAAATTAATATAGTCACTTTGGAGAGCAATTTGGCTATGTCTAGTAAAGTTAAAAATGACTATACCTCGTGACCTAAAAATCCGTTCTGGATACATGTCCTTAAGAGCCACTCATAATTTAAAAGGCAACATGTATTTCAGTGTTCATTGCTGCCTTGTTAGTGATAACAGAAACTGACAACAGTTTGTCAGTCAACAGAGACTGAATAAATCATTATTGATCATATGGTGTTTATTATATAGCAGTGAAAAAATTAATGGACTAAAACAACATGGAGTAATGTTAATAAATACTGAAGTGAATTTTGAGCAAAAAAATTGCAGAAAGATACATACCACAGTGTGATGTCATTTTTTACATTGCTCCATATTGCTTTTAGATACCTATACATACAGTAAGCATAAAAATGATAAATACCCAATTTCAGATTATGGTTACTTCTGGGGAAGGGAGGGGAAGTAATTGGGATCAGGGTATATGCACAGAGGCATTAATTTGTTCTTGTTATGTTTATTAAAGAAATCTAAATCAAGTAGTGATAACTGTTAGGGTTAACTTATTTTCTATACCTTTTATATGTTTAAAATACTTCATAATGTTTTTAAAAGGAAAGTCAGGAAAATGCAGTTGAAAGGTAAGAGTGTCATTGTTTAGGAGTAAATGGAGAGATGGGCA